AGAAAGGAAGTCCCGTGGACTGCGTCAACATGAACATTGTATAAAATCCAACCGGCTGCAGTACAACGAGTTTCATCCGTCATCATCTGGTGAGATCGAGTAACGAATCTCTTCTTCATGCACTTTCATACGAAATAAAGGTCTCCTTAGCAATGTTATCTCAGGATGTTCATCGAAACCCAGTTTCTCTTTGTATCTACGACATTATTATACCTGGAAAGTCCATACTGAAATATTTGAATTCCTACTCGAATAGGCCAAATGTGTCGTTGAGTAGTCACGTTTACCTTTTTCAACCCGAATTCTAAATACGAAAACGACATGAATTATCAATCTCCGCCGCCTCTGTTAACTTTAGTTTGCCCGCGAGCTGTCCCAGTGTAGGTCTGTCGAAATAGAATCCACATAATTTGGGTGCTCTAATGCGTGCCATAATTCTGCTCAAGCTACTCATCAATGCCAGAAGCCCCTAGATTCCAGCAACCTTCATGCACAAGCCACTCACCATTTTCATTGTAGCTGGCCCCATTGAAGACCCTTGGACAGGGCGAGTACAGTCTTTGTTCGGAGAGTGCCGGTGGCCAACAGAGCGCTCCGTCATAGATTGGAGGACATACTTTTGGCAAATCCAGCCTGGAATGCTCCAGCGCCTCAGTCTCATGCTCGCCCCCAAAAGAGTTGAGCTTATTTGTGATGTTCACAGCTGGAGGACAATTGGCAAAAAATGAAGCTTTAATATTAATTAAAAGAGTCTGCGTAAAGCATACATGAAACGTAGCAACGAGGCTTAGGTTTAGCGTAAATAGGAAGATCAAGGCTTTTGGTCTGTCTTTGCTGCAGTTTCCTTCTGATGTTTGCAAATGGTCTGACCTCGTTTTTGCAACTTGGTCTTGCTGGTACGGTGAACTGATGAAACACATCTTGTCCGAAGTACTCTGCCATAGTAGCCGTTGTATGACCGAGCGATGGACCGTGGGTTTGATACATTCTCAGACGCTTCGCCGGCATCGTCAGTGATTATGGCCGGAGTAGAAAAATTGAGCTTCAAAGAGTCGCTTCACAGATTCATTTCGGAGTACCTTTCATTCCGTTTGAAGAGGTGACTGGAAGCAATTCGTAAGTTGGCTTTGGAGCTACGGTTGTAGAATTGTGCGAATAGGTCGTCGGCGCAAATATACGTTTGCTTCATTGACAATCCCAACAAAGAATATGATATGACAAAAGGCTTGGCCTTCCTTGAAATTCACATCTTCCCTGTGACCCAAGAACACTCGTGGCAATGTGATCGTGTGATTGACGTGTCAAGCTGCTATTCTGCTGGGGGTGTTGCTAAGACCGAGGCGAGGTCGAATCTGCAGTCAACTACAGCCAGGACGAGAACAACTTTTGGGAAAGCAAGGCAATGTGCGATTCAATGGAAGCGTCAGATCTACTCACATGATTGTGGGAAAATTGTTCTACCAGTCCTTCATTTCCCTAAACGAAATTGGCTGAGTACATATCATATTACCGATTTACTGGTAGTCACGAGACTCTACTCAAATATAAAATAAGTAGCGTAGTCGATTGCTATAGCAAATATTCGTTTGCTTCATCGACAATCCCACCAAATAATATATGATAAAAGGCTTGGCCTTCTTTGAAATTCACATCTTCCCTGTGACCCAAGGCGCACTTTTGACAATGTGGCCGAGGTGTGAACGCGTCAAGCTCACATGCTGCACTGTCACGATTCGACTCTCGCTGAGGGTGTTGCTAAGACCGA